GAAAAATATTTGGGGGTGCTTAACTTTTTTCCAGGTGTATAAATTGCCGCCACCATCGAAGGCGCAATAAGTTATTTTCTTGTAACCCAGGCTCCTTGCGTCAGTTCTATGTCAAGCGAACTCATGATGGTTTCTGAATCGTTTCCTTGTAGATTACTCATACAGAGAATCAAAATTAACAACTGGCTCACATTGTTGATATCTGACAGCCATTATAGAGTAATATTTGTTATCCAAGAAGTCACAATCTTCTAGATCTTCGACAATGCAGGTCAACAGTGTAAGTCAACAATGCAGGTCAAAAGTGTAAGTCAACAATGCTTGTCAACAATGTAAGTCAACAATGCAGGTCAACAGTGTAAGTCAACAATGCTTGTCAACAATGTAAGTCAACAATGCAGGTCAACAGTGTAAGTCAACAATGCAGGTCAACAGTGTAAGTCAACAATGTAAGTCAACAATGCAGGTCAAAAGTGTAAGTCAACAATGCAGGTCAACAGTGTAAGTCAACAATGCTTGTCAACAATGTAAGTCAACAATGCAGGTCAACAGTGTAAGTCACCAATGCTTGTCAACAATGTAAGTCAACAATGCAGGTCAACAGTGTAAGTCAACAATGCTTGTCAACAATGTAAGCCAACAATGCAGGTCAACAGTGTAAGTCAACAATGCAGGTCAACAGTGTAAGTCAACAATGCAGGTCGCAAGCTGTAGCTTTGCTTACATATGTCGAACGGTTGCTCTGATTTTCCATCTATTTCTTCGGAGAGTCGTCTTGTAAGAATAGAAATCAAACGTTCATACTTCTTAGTATGTAGGATTTCTTCTTTGGTTAATAAGTAGACGCTTCTCACAGAAGCATCCATTGCTTCCTTGTTCCTGAGTCAACTGTTGAACAAGTAAATTATGAACAGATCTTATAAAACCCTCTTCACGGAGTTTATGCATTCCTTGATCATGAGCATGTTTCACGGATTTAAAATGTTTGTTGAGATTCCTGGTATTCCCAGTTGATTTTTGAAAGAGTTGTTATGGAAACACCACCTGTCCTATGTAATACATCATTTTTCAAAACATTCGCGACAGTACTTACAAAACAATGGATGTATCAAAAACACCCAGTCATATTTCTCATCCCATTTCACCGAAGTTGACGAAGAGCTGAAGAAGATACAGCAGCGGGGTTGACGAATCAATATCACTAGCTCCGAGACTCGGCTTCTTAACTTTAGTTAGAGACTCACCGCTACTCACTACCTGTAGGTTTCTGTAAGAAATTGTAGAGTTGATTTCTGTGACATACTTCACCGAACAAAAGTTCAAATCACGGATCTTTTCTGTTTCATGCTCCACGTTCAAATAGAAATAAATATACATTTTTGAGTGTAGTTTTTTAATGCTGATTTCAGAAATATAAATTAAAATATGGAGAAATTAAAATAAATATTTTTTTATTATTTCTTGCCAGGTTAGGTCAGTTTATGTAAGGTTAGATCAAGTTACACTAATTAGTAAATAATTACATGTTTATTTAATTAAAAAATAAATTTAACTTAAAATATTCTTTAAAAAAAACATTCTTTTCCCTTTAAACCCCCCCCCCCCAGTAGCTCAGCGGTATGTCTGCGGGCTTATAACGCTAGAATCCG